GGGATGCTCCTGGGCGGCTGCAGCACTGTGTGGGCGTTGACACTGCCTGGGTTTTCCCTCACAGCTTGACTGTCCCTTTCTCTCCCTAAGGGTGAGACACCACCATGACACCCAGGAGACCGTAACACCGGCAAAAAGCAGAGGCGCATACAAGGGAGACAACCAGAACAACAAGCTCTGAGAGCAGCACAGCCCCTGCTGGAGCTTTCCTCGTGGGGCCAGCGCACACCCACCCACACACCTTCATGGAGCTGGGCCACCGGACTCACGCGCTGCTGCCGGGACACTGCCGACGGCCCAGAGCAGGGTGGCCGGGCGGGAGCTGGGGCACACGCTCCCTCTGCCTTTCACCCCACAGCCAGCGGACCCTGCATGTGGGGGGAGAGGCAACTGCTGCCTCCACAATTTGCCACAGCCAGTTAGACTCAGATCCTGTTATTATGCCTCCTTTGGTGGCAGGAATGTGACCACGTGAAAATGGATGCGACACTCAGTATTCACCCTTTTAGTTTGGCTAGGCAGCACCACAGCCCTTGGTGCTGCCTCCCAGGTGACTGCCAGCAGCGTAACCGGAGGGTCGAGCGTGCATAGAGGTGTCATTGCTTGTATCAGTCCTGGTGGTGGCCTGCCACAGCGCTGTGGGTCCAGGCTCTGTGGCGGTCGAGGCTCCTGCACGGGCTCAAAGCTGATGGCTCTGTCTGCAAGAGGCTTCTCTCAGCTGCAGGGTCTCCACCAGCACATAGCGACGAAGGTGGCCTTTGCTTACCGATGCCTCCTGTGAACTTCCCGTGAGTGTGGGCGCAGGGGGCTGGAAGTGGCGATGATCTCCTCCCTTAGCTGGGAGGAGGCAGCACATGTTTCCTGTCCGTTCCCCCGTCTCTCCATGCTGGTCCCTGTACCTGTTTCTCGCAGAGTGGGGCTGGCTGGTGGGTGGTCAGAGCGTGCAGGCAGGTGTGGAAATGCAGAGGTGACAACCAGGCAGTGGTGAATAACCGGCATGCAGACGCTTTTCCAAGCCAGCCTGAAAAACCCATTAACCATCACATTAAACTGCTGCAACTCACCGAATCTGATGGGGTTTGACTTCCAACATCAGAGATAAATTTGAATGTGTATTTTTAATCTCTCTACCATTGAAATCATGCTTGATTTAAGCAGCTACTGTTTGCAGCAACAGTGGTACGTCTGGTGCAGTCTTTGCCAAGACTGAGATTGGCCAAAGCATCTCTGTTATGGTAATGCTGGGAATGATGCTGTTATTTAAATGCTTTGGCAGTCCTGGTATTTCTCCTCCTTATTTGACATTTTTCCTATTCTCAGCAATATAATGAATGCGTAATGAACTGTTTGCCTCCCATTTGCCCAGAGGTGTTCTTTGTATCCCCTGTGCCTTCCTTTCTTTTTCTCTGGCTAAGTCTGATCAACTCAAAAAAAAAAATCTGAATAAAACCAACAGCGAATGAAAAGCTCCTTCCCAGATGCTCAAAAGTCAACATTACTTCTGAGGTCACTTGCGTGGCAAGGCAGAATGAGTCTTCCTCCTCGCTAGAGCCAACTAGGACTTGACTGGACTCTCAGTTTAAATCTGTAAATCTGCTTTTTCCCCTGGCTGAAGACTTTCAGACAACCTCTGCCTATGAAGCTGTGGATTCAGTCCATTACTGATGCAGAAAAAAAAAATCAGATTGTATGCAGATAGCATAGCCACTTCTGGTAGACTGACACGTGAATGATCCCGCTCTCATTGATCTGAGGATGGCTGCCTGGTTTGCTTTGGGAAATGTGTGGCTTATGCATGTGCACAGGCAAGCAGCCATCCTCGTGATTGCTGGGAGAGGAACATCTCTGTTTCCCCTGAGCATGCCTGAATCAAAGGCCCAGGATCGCCCACCCAAGCAACTTACCAGAGCGTCCTATTCCACCTCTGCAGGGGCATATAGCGGGCATCCCAGCACTGAGCAGCTCAGTCATAGTTTGTGCCTAACAATAAGCTTTAGTTAGATGTCTTCTACCTTCTGGTCCCTCCTACAATGGTGGTGGTGGAGTGTCCTACCGCTGGCTGCTCCCTGGCTAATGTCCTCACCGTATGAGTGGGTCTACTGCTGCGGCGCAGCTCAGACCAGCTCATGAACCGCCCCGTGGATTGTGTTAGACGGCTGGGTCTCCCCGCCGTGCTGGTGGTGTCTCTTGGGGGATGCAGCAGAGCACATCTGTGCTGCAGAAAGGCCGAGCAGAGCAGTCCACCATGGTCACGATGGGTCTGACAGGGTCCCATCCAGGGTCCCATTCACGCCCTCTCCCACCACCTCTGGGGGATGAATTCTCTGAGCAGTCTGGTTCGTGGTGGGCAATGCTGGGGGAGCCCCCGCTCCGCTCCCTTTGTGCTCAGAGAGCTCTGGTGTTTGTCTCTGTACCTGTACCTGCTGGCTCCAACCCCCATGGGACAGCTTTGCACTGCTTTCACCCTTCCGACTCTTATTTTTCAGTAATTTCTAACAGGGAGATGAGTGGCACCAAATGCGGTTGTAGGTCCTGATCTCTTTTTTAACAGGTAGGGTACAGAGAGGACGCTGGCACAGCAATGCAAGCACCTCTCCAGACGCAGAGGGGACCTATTCTCACTTGCACTGTGCATCCTCTTCCTGACGTGGTGCCATGGCAGTATGTACCTTCACCTCTGTATGGGAACAGTAAGCAGCCCCCTCCAGCTCTAGATTACTATAGCAGTTTCTTCCCTGCCATCACATGAAGGTGCCGGGGTAAGGGGAAGCTGGTTTTGGGCAAAGGCTGCAGGGACTGAGGGCTGCAGCTCTCGCTGTGCAGCATGGCCTGGTTTGCTCTGCACAGCTGGCAAGTGCTCCACAGGCACACGGATTGATGCACTGCAGTACCACCACCTTCTTCCACATGCTGTGCCTGGTAGCCTGGTTTTATTTGCTCAGGTCAGGCTCTTGGCACACTTGCAGCACAGTGTGTGTGTGCGGGGCTGGGGAGCCGGTGGCAGCAGCATCGCTGTATGCTGCTAGCGTGCAAACAACTGACCAGGAATGTCTGGGGGGGTTTCTGTCTGGGGGGCTGCAAAGCTGGAGTGGAATTAGTTCACCAGGAAGTGTTATTGGAGTCCTCAAAGGGCATCATTGCAATGGGAAAGCCACCCTCTCCTGCTAAGTCACAGCACACCCAAATGAGTATCGCTGTGTTCTTGCTCTCCCCTTCCCCAGCCATCCCAGCTTTCTAGCAGTAAGGCTGCTGAGTGGGGTACGGGTCTCCACGTCTCTCTGCCTTCAGACTCGTCATTGCCTGGGAGGCTAGCCAGAGCCCCTGCCGCGTTCTCCACTGATCCTCTGTTCTTTGCCCAGACCTACGCGGGGCCAGGGGCCAGGCGCGGGCGAGGGAGCTGTCCCTTGCACAGGGCACGGCTACAACCACCTCACTCTGGTGCAGGTAGTGAATTGGTTCATGCACCATAAACGTGTTTATCTGGAGCCCCAGACAAGGAAACTAGCCCTGCTCCTTGCTGGGGAAAAAGCTGTTGCTGCATAAACACTGTTGTACTGGCTGACCAAAAAACCTCCAAAAAACCCTTCAGTACTTAAATGGTAAAAAGATCGCATCTTTAAAAATTCCCTAAAGGCTTCTAAAACCATCTCTCCTTTCTCCTCTTTCTCTGTAAACAGAGGCACGGTCTCAGCTTAATCACTACAAGGCAACGGGGAAAAATTTTGAAACAGGAAAAAATTACTTGATAGCAGAACTTCACAAAACTTCCAAGTATGAATAGCCTTCTCCACCCCTGGAATAAGTATGCTGGCATGCCTCCTTAAGGACTGCTGTGTGGACAACTTGTCCTGTCTGAGTTGCAGGCATGTAAAAATAAATATTTCAAGGTCAAATAGTTAAGGAAGAAAAAAAGTTATTTATTTAGCACAGCCTAAATTGACATTTGATTTTTGTAAAATTTAAAAAACAACCAAGGGTTTTTTTTGCCTGCTTTGGAAGCTTTAGAAGGCTTTGACCCTCAGTTTGATAAACACCACTTGATAGAACGGGAGCATTTTAACTCACAGGTGCCCACAGAAAACAGCCTCCAAGTCAGCCCCGGCTGGGAAGACCCGACAACCACCCCCAGGCAGTGCGTGCAGAGCTGATCTCTGCCACCACACAGATGACAGGCGCAGCTCTCGCGGGGCGTTAACAGCCCATGCTGGTCAGGTCAGGCTGCAGCCAGAGACCAGCCGGACAAACTGAACAGACTTTTACAACACTTGCAACACACTGTTTTGCCAGTAGCTTTGCTTTTTTTGCCTGAGAAGCTACACCAATACCCTGACACCTACAGCAGTGAGCACCACGTGGTTTCCACCCGACAGCCTGTTCCCTGCGCTGTAGTTCCTCCAGCTCAACCACCACCCAAAGGCCCTCGTGGAGCCCTGCTGCCCAGCTCGCCCACGGCACACAGCTTCGCACCACCCCTGCCCAGTAGCAGCAGTCTGAGGAAGAAAAAAGCCAACAAGCAACATGAGTTGTTTGAAGGAACACCTTTTTTTTTTTAATAAAGTGTACAAAGTAGTCAAACTCCTTACACACAGCGCTGTGACAGCCGTTACAGAGATGATTTGGGCTTCCCCATGGGCCTTGTGGTGAAATGCCGATGAGTGCTGGGTAGAAACTAAGGACGTGAACACAACACAGACCCACCTGTGCCTACCAGCTCCCATGAACCTGCCCACCCCACCCCACGCCTCAGGCCAGCACCCACCACTTTGCCTGCCTGGCTGGTTCGCCCATGCTGGGTTGTCCCTGCTGTCCCACACCGTGACATCCCACACGCATCCAGCACGAATAACACACTGAACCAAGTGACCTGTCTGAGTGGCATGCATACAAAAAGGAAGTAAAAACACAGCCCGACCGAACTCACAACAACAACAGAATTTTAAGGCTATGCATAAACCAAAATGAAGCAATATCTTTAAAGCTAGGCAGCAGTAGCATTTGTGAAACATAAGGCTTGAGGCTTATTGATTCTTCAGAACAGGTTTATTTGCTTTTCCTTCTTAAAACACCAATGTACCATTTTTCTTCCTTCGCTTGAACAGGGATTTTGTTTCCTCCTCAGCAGGGACATTTAACTCAGGGAGGTTATGTTGGAGCGGCCTCCCGGGGGTGCAACAATGCGCTTGCTCGCTGAGCGAATGCCTTCATCAATCTGGGTACCTGTGAGAGGACAGGAAAGCACAAAGGGAAGGGGGAGAAGATAAGTTAAGGGCATTTTCTTCACAGAACTGAGCACTCAGGCAGCTTGGGGTTTCGCCGAAGGGCCTCCTGAGGCTGTCTACAGCAACCTGCTCCCTCTCTGACTCCAGTAACAACCCCAAGAGCAAGCAGCGGCTTGAACGTCTCTGTAGACACCCCTCCATGAACAGACCCGTGCAGCAAGAGCAGGGTCTGATGCTGTGCTGGCACCTCTGTGCCTACAGTCTTCCTTGCTTCTACTGCCAGTTGCAGTGGGTGGAGGGCCAGCTCTGACCGTGTCCTTCAAGGGACACACAGGGTCTTGCCCTGCCATGCTCTGCCCTTGTGCTCAGCTTGCCCCAGGCCATCTCCCAGCTGCCCGCCTCAGGCCAGGGGCTGGCGCAGGGTGGCCAGCATCCCTACGCTCTCCCAGCCCAGATGCCACATGTGTTCACCTGACAGGCTGAATCCAGACTGATGGAGGTTCCTGACAGGGGGTGTCTGCCGTGTGGGGGACCCCCTGGTTGACCCCGCAGGGGTGCCCCCTTTGGGGGTGGTGGTCAGGTCAAACACGGGTCCATCGTACATGCCCCGGGGCACAGCATGCATCTCTGCCATCTGTCACCAAAGAGAAAAGGACAGTGACACTTCTCTGCTCCCAGGGAGCATCCTGCCATGGCAGCATCGTGCTCCATCAATCCTTGGCTCCCCAGCCCCGCTGCAGCTGCAATTCACGCTGTGCCCTCCTGTCCTGCATGCCCAAGACCTCCCTGCAGCATTGAGGCCTGGTGCAGCCCCACCACCCACCTCCTGTGTGATGGCTTCTCTTCAATCCCACTCTGCAAAATGTGAAGAGCCCAGTGCAACAGGCAATCCCTCAGCATGGGTTTACACTGCATTGACAGGGAAGGAGAAGGCCATTTTGCCCAGTTTCCTCATTTTTTACTCAGCACTTCCCTCCAGACTCCTGCTGCAGTAGGACAGCAACAAGAGCAGGCATCACCCACAGCGAAAGGACGAGAGGAAACGGCCTCAAGTTGCGCCAAGGGAGGTTTAGACTGGATATTAGGAGAAATTTCTTTACGGAGAAAGTGGTCAAGCATTGGAACAGGCTGCCCACGGAAGTGGTGGAGTCACCATCACTGGAAGTGTTCACAAAACATGTAGATGTGGCACTTCAGGGTATGATTTGGTGGGCTTGGTGGTGTTGGGTTGATGGTTGGACTTGATGATCTTAAAGGTCTTTTCCAACCTTAATGATTCTGTGATTCTGTTGACCCAGATAAGCATCTGCCTCCAGTGGTGGCACACCATCAACACTAAGGTCAAAGCTCTCTACCCAAGCCTTAACTAACCCAAGTGCAGGTTCAAAATACATCAGCTTGCAGCACTGTTTCCACAGTCCAACAAGAACAGCAGAGGAAAATCAATCAGTTATTTGGGAAAAGGTCAACTTGGGCTAACAGTGTCCCAACTCTGTCTCCTGGCATCCCTGTCTCCTCACCTTCCTCCTGGCTTTGATGCGCTTGTAGACATAATCAGGGAAAGGGCTGCTGGGCAGGAAGCGTCCAGTCCCCTGGGTCACATGCAGGCTGCCATCCTCCAGCATGATCTTCCCCTGGCATATGACAACCAGCGGGGCCCCACGTAGCTCCATCCCTTCAAAGATGTTGTATTCAGCCACCTGCAGCAACCAGGGGATGATGGTCAAAAGGGACATGAGCACTGCCTGCCCACTCAAGGCTGTTTAGTCCCCACACCTCGCTGCTGAAGTCACCCATGCAGCGAGAGGACACCTGTAACAGCCTTGCCTGCTCCAGAGGCCTCTTTTAGTTCACTAGTCCACCACACTAAGAACCCACCAGGGGTCCCAACATGAACCAGGATCTGCTGCTTCAGAGCTTGGTGTGAGCAAGGACTCCAACAACAGAGGAGGGCAGGACCTAGGCTTGAGGTAAGGCAGGAACAAAGCACACTGACAAAGCCAGGAAACATTTGTAGCTGGAAGAGGAACCCAGATAAGGAGAAATGTGTGTCCTTACACCTGCACAGGCCAGGCTCAGGAGAAGAGTGACACAGCAGGGTGAGAAAAGTCCTGTGTGCAAAGCCCAGGGTTCACAGACATTCTACACCATAGCCACAGCTGGCATCGCCCAGAGCCTGGACTCAGACCCTCCTCAGAGCCCAGCATGGCAGGGCAGCACCAAGCTAGGCAGCCTTTACACAGCGCTACTCGCACCCCACCCTCCAGCATTCCCACAGACGAGCAGAGGGCTTACAGATTGATGGGTTTTTGCTGTGACGATCTTCACTGCGTCAGGATCCCATATAACCAGATCGCTGTCTGAGCCCACTGCTATTCTCCCTTTCCGTGGGTAGAGGTTGAAGATTTTTGCAGCATTAGTGCTTGTCACAGCCACAAACTGGTTTTCATCCATCTTTCCTGTGGCCTGCTCAGACACAAAGAGAACTAAGTGCTCTTCTGGGGAAAGGGAGAGTAAGAGCCTCAGGAAGCACCAGACTCACTCCCACACAAGCCACTGATCTTACTATGGGTGTCAGACAGACCAAAAACTGGGGACATAGTCACAGCTCCTGGCTGTTCATCCTGAACCCACTACAGCTGCCTCTGCTGGTCTGGCTTGTTTTGACTCTCAAAGCCAGAGAGGAGACAGGCAGCTGGGTGTCCAGCTCTGCGGGGGTGAGAACACGGGTGTCTGAGGTGCCCCGTCAATCCTGCCTGCTCTGCCCTCGCTCTGGCATGACTCTTACCACTGCCTTGTCCCAGATGACAGACATTCGTTCCTCTATGCCGTTGGTCCCTTCTGGGATTGCCGTGAAGTTGTCTTTTCCAATTGCTTTCTGTGCGGTGCTGAATGTACAGTGGGCACTTCCTGAAACCTGCAGATCACCACTGAGGGGTGGTGGTTACAAAAGCATTGTCAGCCGTTTCGTGGTCAGGTAACAGCAGGGACGCGAGGGATATGGATCTCCTCTGGGCACAGCCAGCCCCTGGCTCAGCTCTGTTTTACTCTGCATCCCTGTTTCTATGGCCCCTGTCTGAAGACTTCCACCTGACCTGGCCCCTGCAGCGGCTGCATCACCCGAGGACACAGGGGCAAGAGAGCTCTGCCACGCCGCGCTGCCCAGCTGGGGCACGCACAGCATCCTGCAGAGAAGAGGAGTCAACAGCTCAGCTCCCGGGGAACAGGGTGGCCTTTGTGTCAAACCAAAAGATGTCCTTCCATAGGAGACTCCAACATTTGCACTAACAGAAAGGGAAAAGACACCTCAGGTCCGCTTGGGAGAGCAGCCTTTTTGCCACATGGGCAGGCAGAGACCTCACCACCCAAAGAGTGGCCCCCACAGCCAGCCCTTTCGTTAAGTACTGCCTGCTCCTGCGCCCCAAGGGGCAAGCACAGCCCTCGCCTGCTGTGGGCAGGTGTCACCCGTCTCTGGGAGAGAGCACGCGGCTGCAGGAGCGGGCTTGTGGAAGGCGGAGCCTACGGGCTGCCCGCCGCTCGCACTGCCAACCTTCCCCAGCGAGGAGAGCACCTCAGCCTGGTCCCAGGGCTCTGGCCTGGATGTTTCATCTGGCAGGAGCTCACAGAAGGCTCCTTTCAGCCCTGCACGGACACTCACAGCATGAGCTGCAGCAGCCGGCAGCACAGACCAAGGAGGTGTGCTCCCAAGCGCAGGATGGCCCAAGCTGCAGCATTTCTGCTACATCACTGCTACAAAAGCAAAGGCCCCCAAGGCCACATGTAAATCAGGCAGTGGGATGAAGGCAGTCAGGACTCCCCAGAAGCAGTTCTCTCAGGAGGCCCAGAAAAGCTTCACTGTGGCATGCTACAGTGGCTGCTGCCCCATGCTGTTATCCAGACCCCTCTGCCCAGAAAGGGTCAGCGGTTGGATGAGATGCCATAACCCATCCTGCTCCTGGCAATGATGGCAGAGGGCAGGAATGGGCAGAGTCAGCGAGCTGCTGACAGGCAAGGCAGGGTGAGGAGCTGCGCAGGGCTCCCTGGACGTCACCCAGCTGCTGCTGGGTCCTCGGGGAGCAGGGGACAGGCAGCCGCTGCAAAGTCACCACTGCTGGGCGAAAGGAAGCAGACCAACGCAGGCCAGCTGCCAGCGCTGCCTGTGCCAGGCAAGTGGCCCCGAGCACCTGGCTCCCCGACTGGCTGCACCTGAACCCACGATGGCCCGGACACGATGGCCCTGCTGGGGGCTGCAAATCAGCCCTAATCCACTGGTAATCTCAGTCTTCCTCTGATAATTTCTGCCATATGTCTGACTGACTGCACAGCCAGAGACAACACAATATTCTTCCTAATCTCCACCAGATTTGTCCTGGTGGAAGAAAAAAAGCCGTCCAGCCCAGTTGGAGCTTTGCAGCCTCTCCTCTCCCGAAGCCTCACAGAAACGGCACGGGAAAGGTGTCAGGACAGACACCTGTGGGCTGCAGGGACTCAGAAGTGCTCTTGCCTCTCCTTTGAGGTCTGGGGTAAATCTGAAGTGGAAGGGAAGGATCAGAGAGCCAGCTGAGGAGCTGGGCTCCCTTTTCCCTGCCAGTCCCAAAGACCCGCACCTATTTCATACATCTAGACCGAGCAGAGGCACATCTTGCTGACTGACCACAGCAAAATCCAGGGTGAGCTGCATATTCAGACCTCAAATGCACCAGCATCTCTCCTTAGGCCAGCCATGGCATTTCCACCCTGGCACAACCCAGGTTTATCCTAATGTGCCCCTCTGCCCCGAGACACCTCTTACTGACCAGTCATCCCTTGCTCATCTAGTCAGACATGTTTCCAGCATTACCTCAAAGGTCATTTCCATTTACAACCTCCTCAGTGTCAGTCATCCCTGGCTAACACAGACCAGCCACCCTGTGCACGGTTCAGCGTACAAACACAGGGTGAGAGGGGCATGCGATTCACACATGGCGTGTGGACAGGGCCAGCAATGAGCTCTGCGTCCCTAGCTGTTGCGTGTGCCTTGCCAGTGAGAGGATGGAGTATAACTGTGAAAGGTCAAAGCAAATTGCTGAAGCGCTTTATTGTTGCTCTCTATTTTCAACAAATCCCTTCCCCACCCCCTTGCCTTCAGGGTGAAAAAACACCCTACCATCCCTGTCGGTTGTGCACGAGATGCCCTTCAAGGCCTTGTGCACTCTGTAGGCTGTTCTACCAATAACCTGCACAGGTGTGAGAAAATGTCTGCTTTGCATTCGACTGGTGGGCCCCCACCAGCTTGTGACACCTGTAGCCCCTCCACTTTCTCCTGCACCATCACAATCCAGGCAGCCGTTCCCCGCCCCATATGTGCAGAAGGGCTTCTCCAGCTTGGTGAATCTTTCGATGACAAGTCTGTGTTAGCTGGTCCTCATTTCTTTGCCTTCTTCAGTACACTTAAAATGGTTCATGACTACTTGCCCTGGTATTTTTCTTATTATTTCCTATGTTAAGCATATGGTGCCTCCCCTGTCCTCCTTCCATTCTCAGGGATAAGCCACCATGGCTCTGAGTCAAAGCTATTACATCAGTCAGCTCATTAAATATCTACAGTGAAGTGGTTCAGGTTGGACTAACATCTACGCTGCCCAGGTACTCCCTCATCTCTTCTTCCCCTGTTGGGAGGCCAGAGTCTACTTCTTCCCACTAGCAGCATGGCCCAGCAGAGCTCTCACTCACCTGGCCAGGAGGGAGTTGATGTAGTCAGGGGTTGTTGGGTCTGGGCTCAGAGGTGGAGAGACCACAAATGCCGCAGCCTTGGCCCAGTTCTTGCTCCAGTAGTGTGTCCCATCAGTCCCGAGACTGGCCGTGATCGGCTCACCAAACACCACATTGCCTGGAAAGGGGGACAGAAAAAACACTGGGTTTTTTTGGTGGAGCCTGGAAGCATTCTCTGTTCCACAGCACTACCAACAGCCTGCTGTGCCCTGAGGACACCGAGACCCACGTTGGGCTGTCCCATTGCAGCCTGCTTGGACCTCAGGTGCTGGGGCAGGCAGAAGGGACAGCAAGACCCACATTGGTGTCAGGGGCAAGCCGGGCCCGTCACCACTGAGGGCACAGATCCTGCTGGCACAGCAAGCCTGGTGGAAGCACGGCGTGAGAAGCCACGACCACAGAGCTGTGTTCCCCAGAAGACGCCACAGAGACGAGCGACGCTGGCAACCCGGCCTCCAGCCCTGGTAGATGGCTGCCTCCCAGCCCGCCCTGCCCTGGCCTTGCTCCTGGGAAGCGAGGCCCTCAGTCCCCTCCTGCAAGCACTGGTGTCCCCGCACTGTAGTGGAGCGGGCGTTTCATCCCACGGACTTTCAGCCCGAGAGCGGCAGCCACATCCCGGCGCTGCCATTTTTTTTCAGCCCGAGAGCGCCAGCCACATCTCGGCGCTGACCAGCAGTGCAGGCGCACCTGGCAGAGGTCAGGCAATCTGGTAAGAAATGACAGCCTGCAACGGGGCAGGCAGACCACAACACAGCCCGACACTGAACTCGCGCTATGCTGACAGCCACGTCTCTCACAATGTCCTTCGCTGTCATCTCCTGTGCATTCTTCCTCCTTTATCCCTCGTAAATATTTACCATGTGCCACTAAAGAGCTGGCAAGCTCATCCCACTCTCCTGTTCCTTACCTTCCGGTGCCCAACTCCAGGGACAGGCCAGGGGAGAGGGCTTTTTGCAGAGCAGGGCTTGTCATGCTGATAAACTAGGATGGGGACTGAGAAATTGTGCTTTTCTCTCCAAACACACTCTACGCCTGGGCAAGTGCTTCTGGGAGACACTCATCATTATGCCCCACAGTTACCAACTCCACCAAGATCCCCTCTGCAAATGCATTTTCTGCATTCCCTGCCCTGCCCTTTATAGAGGCTCACTGAACATGGCTGTGGACGTGCACACGTGCATATGGGGAGACCCTGTGCTCCACTACCAGCAACAAATAGAGCCCCCAGTCACCTGAAAAGGCAGCCAGGCACCCCTGAGGGGCCAGCACTTCAAAGGGAGGCCGGGGGTATATGCAGCAGCTCAAACCACTTGCATGTGGATCAGACGAGTCTCCTCAGAGAGTCCTTCACAGCCACAGACAAACTGGTGTTTAAAGCACTGCTCCTACCTGTGACCCACATGTTGATGTTACCTGATGTGACAACAGGAGGTGGCTCCATGTGGCCTGGTGCAGCGTCCCCAGGCCCTTCACAAGTCAGGTAAATCCCTGAACTGCTCCCCAGCAGAAGCGGAAGCGCTAGACTGCACTCAAGGCACAGTGGTGGTCTTGGCAAAACAACCATGAGGATATGGGGACCACCGAATCCCGCTGTGCAGGATACCAGTGGCAACAGCAAGGCTGTGTGCAGCAGCAGCTGCCTCTCACCTTTTTTTCTGGCTTGCGAGATGAGGTCAGCAGCGCTTTTGCTCATCACTTTAGTCACATAGAGAGGACAGTTGGTCTGGCTGGCAATAGTGATGGCCCGGAAGACAGCTTCTGCTTCCAGCTGGAAGAGAGAACGGCGCACAGCTGCAGAGGAGCACTGGGTGGGCAAGGAAGAGCCCCTGCTCCTCTTGGCACACCATGGATTGCTGCTGACGCCCTGTGCCCTTGCTCTTACCCTTGACTCCCCGAGGGGAGGTTAATCAGCAAGACTTGATGGGGCAGCTTTGGTCTCCCTAGGGCCCGGCCCAACCTGCACGCTTTCAGCCACACGATGCTCAGCACAGGAGTGCTGCCTGGGCCGTACTCGGGGGCTAGCTCAGAGCTGCATCTGCTGTTTTTTCCACTGCCTTGTTCCAGCCCTCCTGACAGCCAGAGAAGCCCAGGGACTGCTGCCCTGACAGCATGTCTGGCTGATGCCAGACAACGAAAGGGTCTGCCCCTTCAGACCACTCACTGCTCCACTCTCCTGTGGCTGTATCTGGTTTAACCAAACGTCCCCCTGCCTGTGGCTGGGGTGCAACGAGCTATGTGCTGGCAGGCTGTTCCCGTCAGGGTCTGGCTGTCCTGCAATGCAGCTGCTGCTCATCCCAGCCTGCTGACACCCTCCCCATGTTTCACTGTCCTGCTGTTAGCAGAGAGTGGATTTCCATCACAAGGGATATCTTCGGACTATTACATCAGCCCACGCTCAGCCTGAGCTCAACCCCCGAGTTTCTCCAAGTGTTTGCTCTACAGTTTGGCTTCCAGCTTCAGCATGAGAAAGTTCAAAACAGAAGCCTTAAAAAGACAATGTACCAATCAGCTAGCTCCCAGGGGAGGCTGGGACTGCCAGCTGCAGGGAATGCAGGAACTGCCTGTGGGCTAGGCAGCTGGCCACGCAAGCTTAACTCTCCCCGTAGCAGAAGCAGGCCACTGCAGCCAGACACACGTGCACCCATACACCTCTCGTACTTCTGCAGGCCTATTTGCTGCACAGTGAAAAGAGGTTTCCCTCTTCTGCTTAAAGACTCTTTAAACAGAAATTTAAACAAGAAAATATTTTTGTCACCACACTTATGGACTTGAGTGGTTGCCGGGGTGGACAGGAGTAAACAGCCATTACTGAATATCCTTCACAGCAGGTTACAGTCTGGAGCAGCATCATCCTGCCCTATCAAATCACCACCATCACCTGATAGAATAGCATGTCTTTAACCCCCACTGAGGTCCCTCCGGGACAGAGCAGACCCACAGAGCAACAGACCACCCTCCCAGTGCTTTGTCATCAACCTGCAGGCTTTATGGGGGGTAGCAGGGTCATCTGTATTCTACCTGACATTTTCCCAGGTAGAGGATGTTCTGGAAGAGGGACACTATTTATTTTCAAAGGCAATGAGATCTGGATTTGGCTGCACAGATGGTATCTAGAGCCTTCTTGCACTGTTCTCAGTTGCCTTATGCTTTAATGGCATTTCAAGATCAAACACTCAACAATGTTTTACCGGCTTTGGACAACAACCACAGTGCTGTCTTATGATGATAGGGCAGTTCTCAAATTCTGGCAGAACTGCAGCATCCTGCAATCGCTGTTTAGCTTGCCAACTAGTGGCAACGGGTGTAGAGCCATAAAAACAAATGGTGGTTTACACAAAGAGGGACTCTGATCTACTGTATTCGACACAAAGTCTCTTCCCTTTACAGGAAAATGCTTTACAGTCTTATACTTCAAAGAGAATAAGCATTGTATTACACTAGGTTATATATGTTGTTACCAGCCATAATAGAGTCAACTCCTTACACTTTCAATTTAAGCCAACTTCCAGCAGACCCTGAAGTACAAATCTGTCCCTGTGCTCCCCTATTCAGTTTTGCTATTGTACCAAACTCCTATTATTTTCTTCTTTCACATGCTGTGGAAAGTTAAAAGCACCTCTTAGCAGGGTAGCTATCTCAAGAAAACCTATCTAAAATTAGACTTGGCTCAGATTAATGGACCAAACAGAAAAATACCCTGTGAGCTAAAATTAGAAGTAATCTAATTAGTGTCTTGACAATGCTTTGTAACCAGGAAATTCCCCCTCTCCTTCCCTCCCACTCCTTCCACCAATGGCTTTGTCCGTCTGATTTTGAAACGCACTTTAGACCCTAAGCAGAGATTAAGCAGGAAGAGACTGGAATCTGTATGCACTCAGACAGACGTGAACAGTGAATTTTCAGAGGAACTAAAACTCGCCATTTGATTCTCTTCAGGCCTCTTACATCTATGGCGTCACCTGTTCAAGACAAATGCCCCCGAACAAGCCCCAAATGTTGCTACAGCAATACAGATCTTTTTGTTGCTTGATTAATCTCTGGGACACTCAGAAGCCCTTGTCTCTGCTAGAAGACTTGAGCAAGACTGAAAAATGTTTGTCACAAACATGCACCTCGCTCTTTCCTGAGCTGATGATGAACAAGACAGTATTGCCTGTATAAACGGTACCCATAGACGCACACACCTCCCCCACCCCTGATGCTTGTTTGGCCCCACTACAAACACTAAACTCTACTGTGACTTGTGGGGAAAGCTCTTCAGTGCAGCAAGGCTGCTACCATCCTTTGCATCTTACCTCCTCAGGTCTGCTAAGCACGTGGCCCTCGGGGCCGGTTATTCCCATCTCCAACATCCTGGTTTGTTCCTAGGACATTGAAAGGGCAGAGGGACATTACAAGACTGTGAAATTATCAACCACACAGAAAAGCAGAGCCATCCTGTCCCCTTCCCTTGGGACTGCCACCACCCTATGTCCTGTGGGACCACCGTGCATGGTGAGAGGCTGCTGCACCCTCAAGGTGTTTGAAAGAGGGAAGATGGGGAAATGGAAGTGCTTGGAGGGAGCACAGACACCACTGCAACCTCTTCAAAGAAACAAGCACAGTGTGGAGAAAAAAAAGGGTACAAAACTCCCTAGCTCCATAAACAGCACTTGATGTTTACAGTCCCTTTCCAAGGCCCTCCCTGGCTCCCCTTCTGAAAAGCAAGTAGTCTTGAGCAGAAACTGTTGAGAAAACAATCATTAAAGCAAATAAAAAAATTCTCCTCCCAAGGTTACTCCTGGGTCCCCAATGCTATATTTAATCATTTGGATATCAGCAAGTGCTAAATCCTGTCCTGTATCAATCCATATAGAAGCTGGTGGTGTGAGGTGCTAGTTCCTATATTAACATTATCCCAAGTATTTTGCTGTTTTAAGTAAGGACCATGGACAATGCTCTGTGTGTGTGTGTGTGTGTGTGTGTGTGTGTGTGTACACACCACCTGTGCTGACCTGCCTATCTCCTGTCTATACCCTAGAGATTTCTCTTGTGTTGTCTCATTTCAAATGTCTCCCTTTGACAGGAGGTCAAAGGAAACATGCAGGGGGACTTTATGGTCTGCCCTGACCAACATACTTGGGGATCTTTCTGACCCTCACACTTTTACCCATGTGTTGTCACTTCCTTATGGCAATGCACATGTTTGGTCTCACCCAACACCAACCCTTGACTGTGCAGCTGCACAACAGGCAACATTCCTCCACGAGGTGTCATGGCGCATGAAGTGGACGCACGGCAGCAGTAACAGTAAGCCTGTAAGCAAGCAGTTCTATGCACTTTTTCTTGTGTCTTGTAGAGTACTGAGAATATTATGGGCATTAAATAATGACACCAATCTGCGTCAGGACTGCGTAACTCCAGCAACGATAACAGATGTGTTCATAGTTGTTGGAGGAGTGTATCAAAGGGTGAGGCTGCACTGCAGGTTAAGTGCTGTGTGTTACCTCCTCTGACACCTCTGCCACAGTGAAAGTGCCAAGCAGAGACTTGACAATACTCTTCTCGCGTCTTGCTCTTCACCCACCACAAAGCATTCTCCCACCACCTACAGCACATCAGAGTCTGAAGTCTGGAGCACTGCTACATCCTATTTCTGTTCAGGCCATGCATCACATCTCTTCCCCTGCAACCTCCTCTCCTATGTTGACCAAACTCTGGAGAAACACAGTTGCCAGGACCACTGAAATTAAAATGGACTTAAATGAGGAATGGAGAGGACAAATCCTCTGCCTGCTTCCTGGGAACCACCACCAGCAGATGACCACAAGCATCACATCTCTGTGCTAACAACACGCGGAGCCCCACACCAGTCTGTGATGTTTCAATCAGTCCTGACAGAAGGAAGCAATTCCCAGAGCTGTGAAGTGCTACCAACTAACACTTTTTGGGCATTTTGTGGTAGGCTGGTGCTGAAGTAGAGATAAATTCTAGCCAAGACATTTCCTCTGATCACTCTTTGTTTTCATGTGAAAGAGCCATCCAATTGTACACTGCAGCTCTAAAAAGTTCAAAGAAAACAGATTCTTGTAGTCTGAAAGGATATTCAAAGAATGACCACTTAGTTCACCCTCCTTCAACTCCCAACAGTAAGGGAGACAGGAAAAAACAAGCAGTTGCAGAGCATAACTGGGCAATGTCTTCTCTGTCTTAAGGAAAATCAAAATGTTTGGACTTTCTCTCATCCAGCACCGATTACAACACAATACAGCCTACCCACTTGAACACCAAGCCACATCCCTCATAACATCTCCCTTGCAAATACAGCCCCATTGGCCAGCTGCTTGCTTACAGCAGGGAGAAAATACCTCTCTTACCATGGCACTTTTCAATACACTTTAACTCTCTTAGCTGATTACGTGTAAGGCAAAGGTCTCTGCCCCTCCACAGAGAAAAAGAGCTGCATTCGGAATGAACGTACCGTACTTGATGGCACACTTTCTTCCATTTAGATAAGCACTAATTCACTCTTTCAGATTTGCTTATGGACCACATATTCACAGCAGAAATCTTGGTAAATTTGATACCGCTGCTGAGCAGCAAAGAGATCACCTCAAAAGACACCCATGTAGCTTTAGCGTCATTTTGTTAATGCCCCACACCAAATCTGCTTGGGATAGATTTTCAGTCCCCACATACCAGAAGAGCAGTTAGTTACCTGTGCAATTATATCTCCATTTTCAGCATGAACTTGAGCTATGGCACCCAGCTCTGCCAAGCAGCTGAATATCTCATACAGCTAAAACGGAGGCAAGAAAAGATGATTACTGAGAAGACAGAATTCCCTGGCCTGTGCACAGCCTTGGCACCCCACATGGCCCTTCAGCCGAAGGCCCTGGCAGCGGCAGGGCCTGGTGTGGGCGCGCTGCGACCAGCTCTGGCGGATGCTCTCAGTGATCTCCACGCCTCCAGCTGCGGCACGAGAGCCCGGCTGGCCCCCGGCAGGACACCATGCCCGCAGCCCAGGGGCAGCCCTCCGAAGGCAGCAAGGGCAGAGCAGAGGAGCCATGAGGCCCAGCCAGGTGCAGCGGGCTACCTGCTGCCCCAGCCTCCCTGTGCTCAGCATGGCTGCCACCCCCCAGCTGCCCCTTGCATCAACACAACCACGGTGGTGAATGGGGTCTCACCTCAGTGTTCGACATCTGGTACAAATCCTTGTAGGCCATGTACACCATGAAGGAGTTAACTCCTAGGGGCAGAGCAGAGACGAGAGAGGGGTGAGCCGGGGGTATCCCTCCCAGACGGTCCCAGTAAGGCTGCCTGCTCTGGGCTGCCTTCCCTGCCAGCTCGTCCACAGGGCACGACTCCCGCTTGTGGACACGGAGGATCCCATCAGGCCCTCGACACCGAGAGGACAGACAACAGCATGGTCGCCCCTTGCCGCCTTCCACCGGGACCACCCCGTGGCAAGGGGACACGGCTCGCTGAGGGCCGCACACAGGGAGTGGTGGGCAGCAAACCTTTCTCTTGGACCATGGTGTGCAGCTCCTGCCGGACACGGTCACTCCAGTGGGGGATGTCCACGTGCAGCGTGTAGTCGCAGCAGGCCTTTCCATCAGCCCACTCCCGCCACCGCTCCAACGCCTCCACCAGGCTGGACTCGGGGTCTGGCACCACATGGTCCACTGCAGAGGCACAGCAGGGGCAAGGGGTGGCCAAGGGCTCCCATCTGGGCCATCCCACCGCAGCCCTGCACACTGCCGGGCAACTCCACGTCTCCTCAGCAGCTTCAGGGACACTCCGAAGAGGTCCCCATCACCTCCACGATGTGCCTGGGCTCCTCCAAGTGCATTTATCATCAGGGTAGCCCACAGAACCTTTGTTTAACGGCCTTTGGCACGGGACCAGGGGCTTTTACAGGCTTCTGCTGAGAAATCAGCTGAAAGCTGAAGGGCCTTGTCCTTCCTCACCCCCACTTCTACCTCATTAACACATAGCTTCCTCCCATGCTGCAATACTAATGCACCTTTAATTGCCCACCACGTAATCCCCATGCCCTGCCACAGTCCATTTCACACAACTTATTTTTTTGGCCTATGGGGCAAGGAGAACTGGTGTGGGGAGGGCAAGAAACCCAATCCTTTACTGGAAGGATCAACAGTTGCTCCTGCATTCCAGAAAACCCTACAGTGCACACAGCTGTGACCACTGCACAGCAGTAAAACCTGGACCTCAAACCAGTGCACAACCTTAGCCTTCTCCAGGGAAGGACCTCAGAACTACCTTTCCTTTTTTGTTATCACTGTTTGTTTCCAAGCAGTGAGGGATGCCAGACATTGCTCTGTTCTTCTGCTCAGAGTCATCTGAGCATCATGCTGCCCTATTTTTATTTAACAGGGAAAAAAAGTTATGCCATTGCTCCTTTTTGAGGGTCCCAGACATTGCTGCAGACAATGAAGCACTGCAGAACATGGGATCTGCAAGGGCAAGGGATCCTATTCAAACTTCTTGTCCCATCACTTCATTATCACTAAGGATCCCAAAGTTTCATCCCAGCCCTCACTCTGTAGACTGCATTGACAGAGATCACATAAAAGATGAGCACACTGTCATGGACCTTTAAAACAAAGACGATTAAGTAAAGCAAAGAGAAAAAGAAATAACTGGGCAATGTTCCAAGAGTGCTGGGTGCTGTCATGTACAGAACCTCCCTGCTGTACTCACTGATCATGGTGGTGCCACCAGCCAGGGCCGCTTTTGTTCCCTGGAAGAAATCATCCACAGCTGTCATCCCTTTGTATGGCATCTGCAGGCGAGTGTGGACATCAATTCCTCCAGGGATCACCATCTTCCCATTGGCTTCTATGGTTTTGACTCCTCCAGGGACAATCAGATTGTCTCCAATCTGCCTGATGAGATCATACCAAAGCGGTGAGCCACACACAAAGGAAAACCAGCTACAACATAATCAATGAACAGTTCAGCTAGGGAGCAGCCAGGTCAACTCCCCCCACCAGCAGAAATGACCCACTCCTTCCCACTCCCACATCTGGGCTTGCAGGACCCAGCAGAGTGAAACCACCTCACTGCAGCAAAATGTAGGATTTTCCAGCTTGCTTAAACCTACAATTTGTATAGTCCCGGGGTAGCTGCCATCTGCCCGACTGCTCTAGTGGTGTCTATGATGGCACCTGCTGTCTGAGGCAGGCACTGGGTTGGGGTAGCTGGGGAGTATGGTCTGATGGGCATGCGGATCTCCGCCGTGCATGGTGAGAAGCTGCCTAGGACACTGCATACCCCACAGACTCCTGAGCCAGGCTCCTGCAAGAGTTTCCAGTGAAGAAGTCCTGCCTGTTCACTCATGATGCATGCTCACAAAGCCTGACATCAGCCCTGCTTCCAGTAAGCTGCACCCCTAATCTCTCCTCTCCCCCGTCCTTCTGCCCACCTTAAGTAAGGCTCAAGTCTGAGGCTTACTTACAAAGAAAGATGATTTCCCAGCATAATGCCACAGCTGCTAGGCCAGCTCAGGGCTCATCAGGGACTTGTAATGCTGCTCACAGCACAAAGTCCCGAGGGTAAAGCGATGCCTCCCTCCGGGGGGCTGGGGAGAAGCTCACAAAGTGCAGCCTGGCTGTGCTTGTAACACAGTGTGGAAGCACTGGGCTCACTCTTTTCCCAAGGAGTGCAGAGTCCTCCACTCCCCAGGACCTCCCCTCTCACGCTGTCTCCTTCATGTCCTTCAGGGACATCTTTGCTATTAGCAGGGTCATGCTGTAGTGAAGGCAGCTAAAATCCCAAGTACCTAAAATATCTTCTGAAAACAGGAAACCTGAAAAGTTCCTGTATACATCCACTCATAACCTAAAATGCTGCTATAGTCCTCTGGAGTTTGTGCTGTTCTAGCACATGACATTCTCCTCCCTAGATACACCCAGCCCTCCTGCAGGTCGGGTCACCTGAACCTTAGGACTCTCTTCTTCACTCAGCCCCCCACCCCCTCAATCCCTTTATCTGTCCATATGTAGCAGTCATCCTTCCAATCTCTTCTTTCAGAAATCCTATTTTCATCAAGCCTTCCTCAGTCTTCCCTGATAAATCGAGATAAAAGACAAGATGATTTTAGTGGAAAACTTCTGATTTCCTTGGCACACTGGGGAAGTAAATGAGGAGCAAGTTCCATTTTTGCACTTCATTCACCCTAGTCACTTTGCAGTTTTTTTCCTTGGAATAACAAAAGTTCTGTGGACAGCACTGCTCACTCCAGTGTCCTCACAGCATCAAACCAGCAGCTCTTTCCACTGTTTTTATTGAGATTAATCCATCACCAAAGGAATTAAACTGCTCACTGTATTCTTATCAGAATTCACTGGTAAGTGAGACCATTTCACTTCCAAGGCAATTAAATGCTGTGACCTCCACACTGCAGACAAGGCTAAGTGATTTGCCCAAGGATACCCAGAAAGTCTGCGCCATAGCAAGACCTGAAGCTGGCTCTGAACCCTGGTTACCAGTACTAGTCAATCACGAGTGCTCTTGTCCACAAGCTAAAAACAGTCCCACTTCTTGAAGTATTTCTCTGCTGCTGGATTGTTAAAATATACCATCCTGGGAATATGGAAAGGCTGGATATTTTCCTCTTACCATAGAGCAAGCAAAGCCTTTTAAAGTCCCTCTGCTATAAACTATCACAGTCCTTTCAAGTCACACAGCTTGCAGCTGGTCCCAATGCGTCACATTTACCACGTTTGAACTGCAGCCTTTGAACAATGGAGTTTTTACTGCACCTCTGAAACATATACGAAAAAGCTGGGGGGACCCAGAGGTTTGCCTGCAATTCCTGAAAATCTCAAGGATGCTGGAGCACACCACTGTCCTTCTTAGTGGTAACAAATGGGATCTTGTGCAGGGTCATTCATGCTAATACTGTTAACACAGTGCAAAACAAGAGTCAAAGATAAATCTTGTTCCAGGTGCAGTTAGATACAGTTGTGTTGTACAATGGACACTGTGACACGAAGTCACCAGTCCAACTGCAATTCAGTCACTGGAGTTATTACGTAAACATGTCAGGCAATCACATGTGCTCACACACACTGCAGAGTGGTGAGCCTCTAACCAGAGTGGGCTATCAAGTTTTACTGGCTAGCAAGTTGGGTACATGCTACAGCCACAAAGAGCCAGTAACTATCCAGCCTGAAGCTGATTTAAGGGGAGATGGAAATAATATGCTGTAGAAGTCCCATACTTACTTTATGAGGCCATCCTCTATGTAAATGTCAGCATAGAATGACTGGTCATCATTGACTATTCTCCCTCCTTTAATAAGGAGACGATCACTCTGTAAAGGGAAGAACACAGCAGTTGTCAGTAGCGGGCAACACACAGGCTTCTCAGTGGCCAGTACAGTGCCCTTCTTGGGTGATCTTCTACTGCATCAGACAGCTCACCCCAACAGCCAACACTGCGGAAAGTTCACATCTGTACCGACACTTGAAACAACAGGACAAGGGCAAGGACTGAAAAAAAATCATACTCGCAGGGCTGTTTCTGAATGGAACAGGTGCTGCCAGAAACACCATTGAGGCAGAATGAGTACAAAGGAGAGGTTCTGGGGACACAGCAAATATACTTGAATAAAATACAAAGACAGAAGTCAAAAGCGTCCTACACCAGGTCATTATGCACATACATCTGCAGACAGCACAAGCCACGTACCAGTATGTAGAACAAGTTTGTTACTAAGGGCATGCCAAATCTTACCCAAATACCGTCCAGAGTAAGTTGAGTTGGAGAAGACAATTTATCTCTCTCTTATCTGTTGCCACCTTACAAAGACCACCATCAGGCAGCCCTGAGGATGATGCATCTGCTGTTGGAATTTGTCCCTCCCCTAATGATGCTGAGGGTGGTCCTTCTGAGATGTTTCACAACATCACAGGTCTACACAAGACCCAGGAGGCACAGAACTGTGTTCCCATCTCATCATTTACCACTTCCTCTCTTCTCCTTTCTACAGACAAAAGTGGCCAGCAGCCTTCTCTGAAGGAGCGCAGCCTGACAGTGGAGGAAC